ACTCCTGACTTGCACATGCCTCTCCGGCCTCTCCTTTCATGGGGCCCCCTGGAGCATCACGTAAGTGGCCCCTTTGGACCAGAGCGCCCGCCCCGCTTGCCCCTCGGCCCTCAGCCCCACAGCCATCCCTGCCCCACTCCCCAGACGCTGCTCACTCTCCCCTCTACCCAGCCCCAATCCTGGGCCCGTGATTTGTCAGGCTCCCTCCCAGCCCTCCACCCAGGGAGCCCTTCAGGAACCAGGGCTTTGGTTTTATTAGGTGCCATGCGCTACCGGCACAGGGCCTGGTGCACCGTCGGTGCTGGGCAGATGGCGTTGGAATGAGTGTGTAATGGGTCTCTGAGATTTTCTGGATCTGGATTTTCCGCACGGTGGCCGCAGGAGATGCCTCTTCCCATATGTCCTGGTCCAGAGCGTGCCTTGTCTCAGGATTCTCTGGGGCTGTCCCTGAGCTCAGTGTCCCCCATCATTGGTGCCTGGAGGTAGTTTCCAGTCTCTCTCTGTGCCCCAGGGGCAGGCAAAGCTGTCTGGAGGCTGGGCATTCACCTGGAGGACGCTGGCCTTGGCCTGGCTGTCTCCTCACCCCTCAGCTGTTCTAACGGGGTCACCTCACACATACATAGCAAGGTGGGGACACAAAAGAGAGATATTTTTAGTGCTGTTTTTATAGGCAAGACAAAAGGAGCCTCTCTGGTGAAGGGTGCTGAACTTGGTATTGGGAGGCTGGGTTCTATTGATTTTCATTACTGTCATTAAAACTAAGCAATATTGAATATGCAACAGTACACAGAGCACAAAATGAGATACGCCCTTGCTCGGGGGGCCTCCTGGGCTGACCAAACAGCCACACATACTGCCAAGGGAGCCAGGCGGCTGTCCTTCAGATCTGAAGGTGACCTTCAACCAGTTCAGTCTGCTCTTGGGTCCCTCACTGCCGGGCAGGGATGAGATTGCCAGAAGCCAGCGATGCCGTGTGAAGGGTGGACGGCTCCCGAGACAGGAGGAAGCCGGACGCTTCGGCCCTCGACCTTGTCCCTTCCTGGCCCTGGCATGACTCAGCAGAGCTCCCGGGCTCATGCCCGTGGCGAGACAAGGTCACGAAGCAGAGCAAGAGCACCCCGGAGAGCTGAGCCCATGCCCACTATTTTGGTTTTCTTGAGACATGCCATGATGAGTCTGGGGAGAACAGAGCCCATGGCTGGTCTGGATGAGGGGTTTCAGGAAAGGAAGGGAAGTGTCACTCGGAAGCAGAAGTGTGTTCAGGCCAACAGGTCAAAGTGAGGGCCCTGACAGAGAAGAGTGAGTTTCGGGGATGAGTCTCCATGTTAGCCCAGTCCAGTTATCAGGTGCCAGGGAATCCCGTGCCTTCCCGCTGCACTCCACACGCCCCCCTCCGTCCTGGCTCAGCTCAGCAAGTGCCCCATGGCCTTGCTTCTTTCTTGCAGGCCCCAGGGATGGGGCTGCCAACAGCTGGCCCCCATCTCTCTGGCTTTCCATCCATCAGGACTGAGAATGTCACTTGTTTACCTTTCTCATATTTCAGGAAAAAGGGCAAGCCAATGTTTCTGTGTAAGAGGCAATGAGGGTAACAGGCCCAAGAGCTCTAAAAGCAGGGCTCGGGGTTCTCTTCCTTGACTCCAGCTCACTATCCTCATCTTGGTACCTGGGGGAATATTCCTAACTTTGGGGGATAACAGCTAAAAGACCATAGTTGCTACCCACCCCCGCCTGCTGGTACCCCACCAGAGGTCTGTTCTCGCGGCTCCTGAATAGGTGAGCACACCTTGACATCGGCAAAGAGCATGTTTCCTGCCTGCCCTGGAGCACCCTGCTGCCCACTGCAGAGCTCACTGCACATCAGTCCGCACCAACAGTGCAACTCAATTTATGGAAAGGAAACTCCTGGGGCCCGAGGGACACTGCTGGCAGCCTTCTTGGGCTCCTAGAACTGAAAGCAGCCAGCTGAGGGGAAGCAGGTACCCGCTAGGGCTCAGGGCTCCAGGCCTGCCACCTCACAGCCTCCCCACATCCCGACACTTGGCTGACACACAGATGTGGCGAGTGCCACACTGCAGTGCCCCAAGCTGTGTCCTCGTCCGGGGAACACCTAGAGCATGGGAATTCCTCTGTCACTGTCTCCAGATGACCTTGTCCAGTGTCCTGCCCAGAGAAGGAGCCCAGTAAGTGCCCCGGGGAAGAGAACTCAGCTGGTTATCGGAAGGAGCAGTGGCCTGGTGGTACAGACCTCTGCATATGTCTTCCCAACCTGTTTCTTTCACTTCCTAGTCATGAAATTAGAAGGATGACTGATGATAATTTAAGACAACTTTCCTTCTGGCACTGGCTGTGCCTGGTTGTGTGTCTGAGGAGTTGAGAACAACCTTTGACCTGGGTTGCTAACAGGATAGTTCACTGTTCACCTCCACCTGCAACTCTGTGCCTGCTCACTGTGAACACCAACGTACAGGCAGAAAATTGTCTTATACTGCCTGGAAAATAGGCCACCATCACTCACTCACCCTTCCTTCCTTCCTTCCTTCCTTCACTTATTCATTTTTCCTTTAATAAATACTCAGGTACTTACTACGTCCCTGGTGCTGGACCAGCACTGCAGTAGGCATCTAGCAGCATCAAATTTTTGTACTCTCAAGGACAAGCCATCATTCTTTGACTGCCCTGGGGGAAGCATGGCCATACTCTGCCCTACTTTTTTCAGTTGGGGACAGAGAAACAGACTGATTTTCACTTGCTTACATAATTATTGGACATGACTCAGAACCAAGGCTGCCGAGTACAGCCGCACAGGCTGCGCACTGCACAATTTCAGGGGAGTTGTGCAACAGGGAAGCCTTACGTCAGGGTCCAGAATCAGTCACCAGCTATCATTGCTTAGTCCACCTGGCGGCATGGCTTGTTCAGATCCCACTGAGTTGTACGACAACTCCCAACAGCAAGCGGACCAGGGCAGCTACTAAACCAGAAAGCTGGTCCCCAACCAGTCCTGACAAGTCCACAGCCACTTCAGTGGAGGAGACTTCCTTCTCCCTCGGGCCCAGCCCGTGGACGTAACACCCAGAGCTCTTCCCCTGCTTTTCCTCCAGCCCCCACATGGGGAGTGCAGAACATGGTCTGCTGTGCACCCAGGCTGTCTCTGTACCGCCCCCACCACGCAGCCTCTGACTTAATGGCCCTGGTGCTCTTCACCAGCAAGCGGGGCAGTCCCAAGAGGCTTTGTCTTCTAGGGCCTGCTGTGGGACCAGGCTAAAGCGCGCCGCTGCCATATTCCTTGGCTCCAGGCTGGCCTTCACCAGGAGTCGGACTGTACCACGTATCAGCTGACGGATGTGCCACGACTGGCCCTGCCACTCACAAACACCTGCGTCCGTACATACCTACAGAAAATGAAAAACAAAAGCAAAAGACACAACAAACCCAACCCTGCCGCCTCAGTGCCACAGTGAGGCATCGCCCCTTAGTGTCCGACCTGACCTGCCCCCAGGCCCTAAGCAGCGTGATTGACTCCAGCCGTGCCGTCCGCGAGACTGAATGACCGGCAGTCCCCACAGACCTAGTGAGGCCCCTTTGCTGCAGTGAACACACGTAGTATCCGTGTGTTTTCGTTCCTGGGATGGCCCGGCACCGCAGGAACCTTCAGACCAGAAAGCAGGCAAGCCCGGGAATGGAGCAGGGACTGGGGTGTTGTGAGCATCTCTGCTGCTGCTCAGGGCAGGCAGCTCCCTTCCTGGGCCTGGTTCCCATCAGTAGCACTGGCCCTGCCAAGGGCACAAGGCAGGGAGGTTTCGGGGCCCTCCATGCTGCAGAAGTGGCCGGTGGCGGGCCCATAGCTCAGCCTTACTGGAGGGAACGGCACGGGCAGGGGCAGATTCTGACTCGAGTCAGTGGAGGCCATAGGAACCATACACGGCAGGGTCAGGCAAGGATGTTGGCTGACTCGGACCAGCACCCCACTGCACTCTGTGAATCCTGGGGCTCCTGCATAGTTCAGAAGCACTGATGTCTGTGCGGATTGCCTGGAAGCCGGGTTCGGGGCTTCCTGGCTGCAGCACACGTGAATACATTTGAATTTAAAAGGCTGTTTTTCTTTTCTGGTGTGTGCATGTGAACATATGTGCGTGTGTGGATGTGCACGTGCACATGCACTGGAGTGCGGGTGTGTGCCTGGCATGCACCTGGGGCTTCATGTGCATATATCTGAGGACCGGAGTGTGCACGTCTTCATCTCCATGTGATTTGTACCATGGGGGGTGACGGCAATGTGGTTGATGAGAAACAGTCTCCTGCTTCCCCACGTGGAATCCAGCAGAGAGCCTGTGCATTGTGGGTGTCTGGGCCCTTGAGGAGAACGTACGGCTAGAAGTACATACCTGTAGCATCAAATAATTAGGTGTTGGATAGATCAGCAAGATGACGCTATCCACATCAACTCCGTGGGGATGGGCTGATCCTGGGCATGAGAACAGGTTTTGCTGACCTCTCCACACATGTTCACCCAGCCTCCCTGCCAAGGGTGACCGACCTGCTGGCTTTTGGGTGCAGGACGCGCCCCTGGAATTGGACCAGGGTGCACGCAGACTGAGCCTGCAGGCTTGGTCTCATTAGCTCCAAGACCTTGCAATCAAGCCCACGAGCCTGTGGTGGTGATGATGCTACTTTGGCCTGCCCTATCCATTCAGCCAGTATTTACTAAGCATCTACTCACCAATGTGAGTCCTACTCATGGGGTCAGGTGGGCAGGGGAGGACAGGTGATGTTATCCCGCTTTTGTCCCATAGTTAGTTGGGATGAGGACCAGAGCAGGAATTCAGGACCCCTCTGCACTGAGAGCCTCTCCCCGCTCCTCAGGGAGCATCTGCGTGCACCTGTCTGTCCATGGATGCACGCTCCAGATGGTACAAGGGTAGCCGCCCACACTGGGGCCCTCGGGATCCCTGAAAGAGGGGCCCAAGGGCCTCTCTGAGATGCAACTGCTCTCCCTGCAGAGTGGCGACAAGGAAGCGGGGCGAGGATGATCTTGCAGGATGAAGACATCACCACCAAAATTGAGAATGACTGGAAGAGACTGAACACCCTGGCCCATTACCAGGTGGGGTGACTGCGCAGGAGGGGTGGGGCTCACTAACCCGCGGGTCCCTCCAAGCCTCAGGTCTTGAATAACAGGCTCCCCCAGAGGCTGGACACCAAGCTGTACATCCCCCTGTCTGCCAGCCCTTCTGATCCCTTAGTGACCCAGGGGAACTTGATGTTGCCCAGCCAGGAGACCTTAACCTTTTTGGAGATAGGATCCCAACATGCGTGCTTCCAGCAGGGTGTGGTCAAGTCCCCAAGAAAAGGCCCTTTCTTGGATGATCCCTGGGGTATGAGGCCAGGTGCCCTGCCAGGGAAGCATGGGGAAGGAGGGTGCTGCTGAGAAGCTCTTGCCAGAGCTGCTCCAAGAGGGAGCCTCAGCATAGGCTACTACTCAGTGTTCAGGTCTGTCTTGTTTTGTCAAAGCCAAGCCGACAGCCTCCAAAGTCCCCCGGTCCTCTGTGATTGCCCCTGAGGTCCAAGTGAATTCTGACTGTCCTTATTTCCTGAGGTGGCAGAGTTTCTGTGCCCAGGCTCTTAGAAGCCTTTTCCCTGCAGGTGCCAGATGGTTCTGTGGTGGCTTTGGTGTCCAAGCAGGTGACAGCCTACAATGCAGTGAACAACTCCACAGTCTCCAGGACCTCGGCGAGTAAATATGGTGAGTTCTCCGAATCATCCCGGGGAGGAGAGATGCCCGAGCTTGTCCGTGGTGATGGTCACAACGGCAGCACCGATGAAAGGCACAGGAGCCCTGGACGGGAGGCAGGCAGGCTGACCGTCACTGGGGAGAGCCTGAGCGGGGAGGAGTCTCCCCATTCCGGAACTCTGGTGCAGGAACAGGACCTTCACCCTTGAAAATAAGAAGAAAATCTAACCTTCATGAGCACCTTACAGTCTACACGACGCTTTCACTTTTGTGATATTCATTATCGCACGTCATGTTCGTAACAATCAGTGAATTAAGTAATTATTATTTCCCCCGATTATGCAGATTAGCAAATTATAACTCAGGTGCACAGAAGCTAAGAGACGTGTAAAGGTCACACTGTTAGGAGGCCGTTGAGGGAGGGTGCAGACCCAGGTCTCTGGCTCTGCAGTGGGTGGGGGAGAAGGTGCTGGAAGCCGGCTGGGAGCCCCCAGTGAAGCCCCATTCTGCCTCCACCTGGAGCTCTGGGGCCAGCTGCCTGACCGCTCTAAGACCTGGTCTTCCCAGCAAAACAGGGAATGAAAAGGTTACTGATTTCACAGGCTCAGGGTAAAAATAAGTAGAAGAAAATACAGCGGAGCCTGCACACAGTAGGGCCTTCATCGTTTCTGCACCACACCCATTTTGCCACACCCCACATGTCGGCAAGTAAGTGGGAAGGACTGACCCTGGCCAGATGGAGGATGCAGGGAAGCGGGTGACGGGGCGATTACTCAGCTGGTCAACAGTCACGAAGGGAGCAGGCTGCCCGCTCTTCCGTTCCTCCTTAGCTGGCCACACAGAACACATCCTGAGACGTCACCTCAGATATCTTACAAGGAACAGTCTAACAAGGGACAGGCTTCTATTTTTAGAAATCAAATAATTAAGGGCTGGAGAGATGCAAGTACAGGAGGGCGAGGAATCTCTGTGGGTGAAGCAGCCTTGGAGAGCTTCCTGGAGGTGGCGGGCAAAGCATCCCAGTTCCAGGGAATGGTTGCTTGCAAGGCACCAGCACACGGCAGGAAGGATCAGACAGCACTGGCCACGGCTGGAAGGGGGGGCAGGAGAGGGGTCACGTAACGGCCTCACACGCGCGGGGTCACTGCATTGGCAGAAAACATGATCCGGTACACGGGCAGCCCCGACAGCCTCCGCTCGCGCACACCCATGATCACCCCCGACCTGGAGAGCGGAGTCAAGACGTGGCATCTGGTCAAGAACCACGAGCACGGGGACCAGAAGGAGGGTGACCGGGGGAGCAAGATGGTGTCTGAGATCTACCTGACACGCCTCCTGGCCACGAAGGTACGGGGGCTTCACACAGGGCTCAGGGCACGTGTGGGGGATGGGAAGGAACCCCGTCACTGCACCACAATCTCAGAGATGGCAGGGAGCTAGAGTTTGTGCCAGGACCCCTCTGCTATCCACGCAGCCCCAGGACTCCTCCCCAGCACAGGACCGCAGAACCCCCCTCAACCCTGCCGATGGCCGGACTGGTGCCCCGGGCAGACCCCACGCGTGCGTCACCCACCCGCGCCCCCCTGATGGCATGCAGTCTGAAGCATGGTTTCCACCCTTCTCTGCGCCCATTCCCAAATATAGAGACACTGGCCACATCTGGTCATGCCCTTCTGCCAGGCCCCACGAGGGAATGACTCCTCGTGGGTGTCATACACCTTCCCTAGGGAGGGACATGGGGGCTCCATCGGTGACCTTCCAGGCACTATCTCCAGTCCTGCTTCTGGGGACACTGTGTGCCTGCAGTCAGCCTTTCAGTCGTGAGGCTGGCCTCCGCCCCGCTCTCGGCAGAGCCAAGTGAGGAAGTGCTCGCTGGCCGGGGTGAAGAATGCCCCAACAGAACCAGCAGATTGCGTTTGTCTGCTCTGACCGACTGAGTTGTTCCTGAGCATTTGTGAAAGGGTCGAAAATAACACCCCAAAGGGTGTGAAATCCACCCATGTTGTTGGCAGATGAAGGCTTCCTGAGGTCCAGTCATCAGCATTCTATTTTGCACGGGCAGGGGGGATTTATAGCTGTTGGAGACAGATGAAGCCCGGGGGGTATGTGATGCGAGCACTCACTGGGTTTCACCCCGGTGGGCCAGGCTGCACGCCGCCCTCCCATCCCCTCTCCTGGGCCACCGAGCAGATCTTAAAACCCGGCCTCAGAGCTCCCTGGGCGGGGCTGCATCTGAACTGGTGCCCCTTCGCCCACAGGGCACCCTGCAGAAGTTTGTGGACGACCTCTTCGAGACCATCTTCAGCACGGCACACCGGGGCTCCGCCCTGCCCCTGGCCATCAAGTACATGTTCGACTTCCTGGACGAGCAGGCGGACAAGCACGGCATTCACGACCCCCACGTCCGCCACACCTGGAAGAGCAACTGGTGAGTGTGGCCGGGCCCCCCCCGCCGCCCCCGCAGGCAGGCCCTCAGAGCGGGAGTGGGCTCCGGGCCTCTGCACCCTCTGCCATCTCCATGCTCGCCTCCGCTCTCAGTTCTCGGACGCTGAGCGTGCAGACGCCATCGGGCCGGCCCCTGGCCTCAGTGGGTGACACACAGGCAGGGAGCTGGTGGGACAGGGAGACCAATGCAATGGGAGAAGATGCATGTGGGCAGTCGATCCTAGAAGGCAGCACCTAACAGTGACTCTCGAGCACAGTTTTGACCCGAGAGTCATCTGGGTGAACAAAAGGTATTTCTGTTCTATCCAAAAAGCAACGGTCTTCCTTCTCTTCCCCCAAACTCCTCTTCCAAACTCGCTTTGGGGAAGAGACCTCCCCAAATCTGCTTCATCTGTCTTTGAGACAGCAGGATTCTCTGTCCTGACACTCTAGGTGTCTCCACGGTGGTCCCTCTCTCCTGTAACACATATGCCCCTTTCCCTTGGCGTGTGTATACTCTGGGTTTCTGTCTGCAACTGCAAGGTCAGACATCAGTATTCAGCACGTGGTGTGTTCGGAACCTTGCACAAAGCCGTGGCTCAATATTGATGACGATGCAGGGCCAAGGTGGTCTCTACTTGAGGGCTCTCCCTCGGGCAAAGCTGGCTTATATTTAGTCCCATCCGTTCCAGACTCACCTCCCTGTAGCTTTTAAACAGCCCCGTCCCAGGTGGTTCTTCCCCAGATATTCTTCCAAGACAGCACAAATCTGCTGCCCAGCAGCTGCCGACCGCGGGGACGGGCCCGGCACCAGGGGCGCAGCCAGCCACCCCCACAGCCAGGCTGCAGCCCCAGACCGAACACAGATGACAGAAGAAGTCAGAAGTGGCACTAAAACGTTATCTCATGTCATCTGCTCTGGCTTCTCCTCTCTTTCACCTGAGGATTAGTGCTGTCTCCGCCGAAATTGGAAAAGCCGGCAGGAACAGAAGTTTGGAGCATCACACTAAAGAGTTGGGTTTACTCCCACATTAATTTCGGGTGAGAGATGATCTTCCACTGTGGAGTTCTTGCAACCTTTTTGAAATAAGACTCGTAGAATCTGGATTCCTCATTTAGTGCAGGAGCACTGGGTGAAGCGTCTTCCCTGTGGAAGGCCTGCCAGGCCTGGTGTGTCCCCATGCCCACCTCTGGCTCAGATTGCACTGAACTCTGCCCATCCTTTGAGCACGACTCTTCGGAGCTGTTCCAAGGGCCACGTCCCTGGCCTACCCAATTTGCTTCTCTCTGGCAGCGAGCCTCCCTTACTGACCACCTCATCTGAATGTCAGCAGCTTTCATGACACAAGACATGATCTGCCCGGCCTGGCTCTTGGTCCTGGCTGAGGAGAGGGGTCTTTCCAAAACACCCCTACCTGCCCTCCTAGCCCATTACCAAGCAGACCCCCCGAGATGGTGTCTAAACCGTTAGCTTTCAGCCCATACCTCCTGCTGGGGGAGGGCCACCTCCAAGGATGATGCCATGATGCCCTTGGCGTGGGGCCGGCCTTCCCTTCACACCGGCTCTCCCCAGTACCCTGCTGTCCTCACCAGGAACTCTGGGCCAGTACCAGAGTCAGCAGCAGGCTCCGGGTCTTACTCCAAAGGACACACGCCCCATGACCCTGCTCGCTGCCCAGGCGAGAAGCAGTTCGCCTGGGAATTGTGAGATCTGCATGCTGACTTAAGAGTTCCTTGTCCCTGAGAGAAAAAAGATGACTTCTCTTTTCCTGGCCAAAGTTGTAACTCACCTTGTCCCCCACCCCCAACCCCCTTCCTCGACAATCCCCCACCTTTTCTCTTTGAAATAAACCTCCTGTTCATTTAGCCTGAGTGGCTGCAATCAACCAGAGATTAGTGCCACCACTAATGTTAATAATATGCTAATATTTCATTAGGCAGGAGCCTCGGTGCAGTGCCCTGGCGTCCCTGTTTGATTTGCCAGTCAGCACAACTGGCTGACGCAGGGGGAGTGTCGGGAGCAACAACGACGAGGCAGATAGGGACAGCCGGCGTCCCTCTTCTGGGTGGGACTTCCAGAAACAGGAAGGTGCAGACAGGTGTGGGAGTCCTCGATCCAGAGCTCTGACCCTAGCTGTCATGGTCTCCCCGGGCACCTACGAGGACCCTGACCTTCACCGCGTGTCGCAGTTTTTCTGTGCCATCCCTTTATCTCCTATTTCCCTATTTCCCAGGATGCGACGAGCGCCACTGAACATGGTCAGTGCTGCCTGCCCGAGCCCCGCACCGCACACTTTGTGGGAAGGGAACACTTGTTGATTGATTGGCAGTCTTGAATAGGTGGTCTTTCTGTATCTTAGCATTTGTCGTGTTGGAGGGACTGGCTGCTGGAAGATACGACAGAGAGAAATAGCGTACTCGTCGTACTGGAAGAAGTAGTTCCAAGAGTTTAAGCTCTAGGAGGAAAGCCAAACACATAGGGGCACTGTAACTACTCGCGGCAGTGAGGACAGCAACCAAAACACTAAAACTCAGGGCAAAGGGCAGGAGGTGAGCAGACAGGGGCAGAGGGGAGGGAGAGAGGCCATCCCTTGCTCGGTGCTGCCCTGCTTCCTATTCTGCATCCCAGTGGGCTAGATGGAAGCCACGGGGCGGGAAAGCCAGCCCAGTGTGGCCGAAGGCAGCAGGTGGGCGCTTTCTCCCAATGCCCCAGGACCCTTTCTGGCAACACAGACAGTGACTTGAGGTTATCAGACCACACTGCACAGTTTTCCCCTTTGTCTTATCTAGCTGATTCCTCTCCCGCTGCCTCCAGGCTTCCTCCAGCTAAGGAACACCTGTGCATCTTTAAAACTCAGACCATCAAGTGTCTTTCCCTCTGTGAAGACGTTCTGGACGCTTCTGAGTAGACTGGACGACACCTCCCTGTGCCCCACATCAGACCCCGTATGTCCCTGGGTTCTAGCACTGACGGTTCTCAGAGCGCGTACTCGATGGCTTGTCTGACACCCCCACGAACCCACCAGAATGCAGGCTTCTTGAGGGCAGAGGGTGTGTCTTTTTCACACCGTATCCCCAGGTGCTAGCACAGCTCCTGGTATGCAGTAGGTGCCAAGTGCGAGAAGGAGGGAGGGGAAGGAGGGAACACAAGGGAGCAGCTGAAGGCTGTGAATGTGGGTTTCTAGGCATGCCAGCTCACAGAGGAGAAATCAGTTAGCTACACTTAAAGTGCTCAGCCCCAGGGCCTTCACCGTGTAGCATCAAGCTGACGCTCCCAGGCAGGCAGGCAGGATGTGCCTTCTTCCAAGTCATACAGTGGTTGGCAGAGAATAAGACACAAAGCCTATATTCCAGGTTATGCTTTAAAGTTTGCCAACTGGAGATGCCTTGTATCCAGCATAGGGGGCAGACGGTGGAAGAGTCAGAAACTCTGTCCTGGCTACCTCTGAGCCCCAAGCCCTGGGCTATCAGGGCAGGTTGTAGGCCCGCAGTGCAGGCCAGGCATCAAGCCCTCTCCAGGGCCCATCAACATTTTAGCTGTGGGCGGATTATTGAGCCCTGCTGATCCTCAAGTTTCCTGGCAGGTAAGTTAGTGGCAGAGGCTTTGCTTAAGAACAGTTGGTTCCCAACCTTTTCTCTTTTTCCAGACAACTCTCCGGGCTATGCCACAGCCTCCTGCCCTATGTTCTCTGACCGTCTGCCTCTTCCCTCCACACAGCCTGCCCCTGCGGTTTTGGGTCAACATGATCAAGAACCCCCAGTTTGTGTTTGACATCCATAAGAACAGCATCACGGACGCCTGCCTGTCCGTGGTGGCCCAGACCTTCATGGACTCCTGCTCCACATCAGAGCACCGGCTGGGCAAGGACTCCCCCTCCAACAAGCTGCTCTACGCCAAGGACATCCCCAGCTACAAGAACTGGGTAGAAAGGTGAGTGCTGGGCCTGGGAGCCAAGGCAGGGCCCCTTGCTGCGGCAAGCAACTGGCCCTGATTAGGGGTCCCGTCCCCTCCAAAATGGGCCAGTGCTTTCAGACTGGTCGTTCACAAAGCCTGAGCCTGCGATTGCAATCAATGCCCACATCCCCCGTGTGCCCAGTGGTACTGTCAGCTGAAACGAGACCCCTGGCTGGAGGTCCCACTGGGCTCTGCTCCCTGCACAGAGGGCCCCAGATCTTTCATGGCTAAAATGCCTCCAGGCCCAGGAAGGAAATACAGCCCCTGCTCTAATCCCCACCAAAACAAAACAAAACAAACAAACCTTCAAGGGACTGAATAACATCTTGCACAGAAAGTCTGGAGTCCGCTGCCTATCTGCCCCTGTCCATCGGCAAGCCCTCCCCCCCCCCGCCACGTCCGGTGGCAATGTCGCTGTCACTCTGAAACTTCCCTCCGCCCCAGTCCCTGAGCTCCCCAGGACAAGCTCTTGATGCCCTGGGTGTGCCCCGCAGTGCTTTCTCGACCACCGTAGCCCTGGCCTAGTCACTGTCTCACGCAATGTCCTGTGACTGGAGGGCCATCCGTGAGCTGGGGAGCCCGTCTTCATGCCAAGCTAACTCCTGGTGAAGAACATCAGTGGTTTGTCCGGGCCAATCAGCACCACATACCAAGCACCTGAGCTAGGCAACCAGCCAAAGCTTTATTTATTTATTCATGCCAGTAGCCCTGGGATATAAGAGCACAGGAGTAAAACCTCACTTTCTGCCCATGAAAGTGAAAAAATATACATTCAGAATGGCTAAGTAATCAGCCCAAGATGACTTCAGTGGCCAAGAGGAGAGCTGATCCCCAAACTCAGCTGACTCCCACATCACTTCTTTACTATTAGGCAACCTATATGGTGCCTCTGTGTGAATTGAAGAAAGTGCCCTTTCCTACTGGAGGAGCCCCAGGCCAGGGTGCACGGTTTGTTGAGTGATGGACTGGTTGTCCAGCCGAGCACCTTTGCGCAGTAAACAACCTGCACAACTCCACGTGGCAGTCCTGATTTTACCATGTAGCTTTAAAACAGGAAACCTGGATGGAAGCTCAGATTTGGTGCCTTTTTTAAGAGTAAAAGATGCCAAAAATTGTTCTTGACTGAGTAACTGGAGGGACAAAATGAACAGTATCATTTCACCTATGGCAAAGAGACAGTCTCCATCTTCATACTTGAAAATTGCCTTCCCTTGTAGAGAGGGAATAACTAATCCACATGCTTCCCACCTGCTCTACAGAGGGGACCAGGTGGAGTCCTGGCCACCTCAGTAACGTGGTTCTGCTCAAAGGGATTGCATTTTGTCCTTCCTCTCCCCTTTGTTCTTTGAGATCCTCCCCACCGCTCCCTGCTGATGCGTGAGGTGAGCATCAGTGTCGGCCAACAGAGAGAGAGCTCTCTTGTCCTTGTACCGGATTATGTCTGAGTCGCGAGGAGAGGCTCTCACCTCCCTCCCCGTAGATGGTGGCTCATTCTTCTGACAATAGAGCTGCCAGAAACAAGCTCTCCTGTGTGGTCACCGGCTCTTCAGCAAAGAGAGGGAGGAAAAAGGCAGCAGCTGGGCTGGGTGATCCGGGTACTGGTACGGCGTCGCTGAGCTGGGACCTCAGGCAGGGAACAAAGAAGCTGGGATGTGGGGGGCTGGGGGCACTGCCGAGACATCTGCAGAGAGGACACTCCCCAGAACACAGTTTGCGAGGCAGGGGTGAGAGTGATGCATGCGCAGGGCTAATGGCCTTCCTGCCACTCGGTGCTAAATGAAATCTGTGCCACGCAGCTGCTACGGGTCATGAGGAACCCTGGTCTGTTGGATTATTTTTAGGAGTGGCTCGATGGTTTCATTTCTTATCCCGCCAGTTTCTTAGCAACCAGTGCCATTCTCGGGAGAGTCATCTTTCACTAGCTTGAGATCCCACCCAAACCCTTTCTCCCCTCATTCTGGGACGAGGTACAGAGGTGGAGGGATTAGGAGACGGTGTGAACGGGTCTGGAGATCAAGTCTAGAGTGCCTCTCCACTTGGTGATGGATGGATTGATTCCACTGTCACTGCCCGAGGAGCCTGGCCTCCGAGCTTGTCTGCTTGCTGGAAGGTGAAGCCTAGACGCACAGAACTCACTCATGGTCCACAGGGAGCCCAGTCTCCCATCTCGGCCTAGCAAGGGCACTGGCAGCCTGCAGTCTAGAAGAATGACGGTAGAAGCCAACGTCTTATGGCCAGGGCTCACCCACTTGTGATGTCGCTGCCTGAGCCTGCAGACAGCCCACCTAGGACTCAGGCTTAGTGACTCACTGCGGTAGACGGCACCCTACACACATCTGGGGAGGGCCTTCTGTCCGATCACAGCTAAGAAACAGGGTTTACCCTGGCTGGTCCCCTCTGTAGAGCAGGTGGGAAGCATGTGGATTCTGGAGGCTTCACTAACTCTTGGCTGAACAACCTAGATCATTCTGTTACACCTATGCTGGCTTATAGCTCCTAGAACTTCTTCATCTACCCATCCTCCCCCAACTCCATCCTCCCATTTCATCCTCCCATACCATTCCTGCCTCCAAATACCTTGCAATGCTAATGGCCAGTGGCCCCACTGCAGACTCCCAGTCTCTGCTGCCTCCATCCAAGTATTCGGGGTTTTGCTTATGGCCACATCTAGAGAAAGGGAGAGGGATCTCTTGGTTCCCAGTAGCAATCAAGCACTACACTCATAGGGCAGAACTCACTGGTGTTGTCACCATGAGGAGTGTGACCTGAACAGTCGTAGTTTCTATTTCATTAGCAAGAGCAGTAAAATGATCATGTTAGGTGGTGACTTCTTCTCATTTTAAATTGGAAGAGCCTCAAGGTTATTGCTGTGGCAACATTAGCCTCTCTCACCTGCTCTCAAGTGCAGGTGCATTCCAGGTAGAAATGCGTGGAGCGGCACCACCACTGACCCGCTCAGAACTGGACTGGGGTGCGCCACACATTTGAATATCATCTATCACGTGTGTCACAACATGAAAAAGGTTAAGAATTTTAAATATTTAAAAATGCCCCCTAAGGAAGCCATCCATTCCAAACATAAAACTGTGACAGCTCACCCTGGGAGCAATAGTGGAGGTGAAGTATAGACATTTTATTAACTTATTCATCAATCCATGGGTCATTTATGGTCTCCATCAGGAGTGTACGGGACCCTTGGGATATATTACACTTGATCCTTCCCTTGTGGCTCTTGTTGTCAAGGAAGACACACGGAGGGGCATTCAACAAGCCCCATGAGCTGTAATAGTGTGGCTCCGGGACTGAGAGCCTGATTCCGCTGGGCCTGGAGAGGTCAGGGAATGGTTCTCAGAGGAAGAGACTTTTGTGCAGGGCCTTGCAAGCCAAGTGTCTGTACATCAGAACATCAGGCTCTAAGCGTTTTTCATGTCTACGCCTTCATCCTTGAGATGTTTGAAGGGATGACAAAACTTTGTTCTTCTAAGAGTTCAGGGCCCTGGAGACCACTTAGGGGATCACTGGAGCCATGGTAATAGCAGAGCTGAGACACCTGCCATCACACACTGGGCCCCTCCCCCAGAAGCCCACGAACGTAGACCGCTACAGACTGGTCGAGAGCAGAAAATTCAGCATTCTGGGACCCTGCCTTTAGAGCAGCTTTCCAAGGACCCACATGGGTACTGGCGTCCCATCCGGTAGGAGCGAACTCGGCAAAGAAGGCGAGGGAGGGCCAGTGGTGGGGCCCGGTCCTCCTCAGCAGGCGTGGCCTTGGCCAGCTAGAGGCGGGGTCTTGGGGGACTTTCAGAGCACCAGGCCCTTCTGCAGGGGCTCCCCTGCAGGCAGAAATCCCACGGGAGGAAGTTCAAGTACAGGAGCCCGGGCTGCCCTTTCCCTTCCTCACTGCACAGCCCGCTGATAAGAACACTTGTTTGAAGTTCATTAATGGGGCATAATTGCATTCTTCACAATTAATAAGGCTTCTCTGTGGTGGAGCCCACGCAAAGGCTGGCCCAGAGGGAATGGAGAAGGAAGCAATTGCCCACACAGCCAGGGAACCCAGGGCAAGGTCATTATCAGGCTCAAGGGGTGCTGGCAAGGCCAGGGGGTGGTGGGGCACAGCCCTGGAGGGGAGCAAGGAGAGGTCAAGGCAGGCTCAGCACGCCCCGTCGGGTGGATGGGCCAGCCAGCAGCGCACAGGGCTGGGGTCAAGAACCAGGCAGAGTGTCCGCCAGACCCCAAGCCCCACACTCAACCAGGAAACTGAGCTGCCCGTGGCGACTCAGCTCAGCTATTCCGAACTTGCTGAAGATGAGGACGTGTGGTTGATCCGTTCATGGGCTAGTGTGTGGCCACAGATGTGCACAGGTCCAATCCAGCAGCCTCGGCAAGGAGGCAACCGGGCTGTTGCCTGTGGACCTGACCTCACAAGCAAAGCATGCCCAGGTGGGCCTCTACCCATTTCTGCCCTCTCCCCACTCCACTCCCAACCCCTTCCTCCCTCTCTTTCTCACACAGACACACTTTCTAGATATTCTCTTTGGAGAAATAGCCCGGGCGACTGGCCCACACCGAGGCAAGCCATGTTGAAGGGACAGTGTGCTGGGCACCTGCTATTTCTGTGGAGACAGTGGTCCCTAACCTGGGCTCTCGTGCACCTCAGGGAACATAAAGGCTGCAGTAGGAGCCGAGGTGCTATGTGCAAAAAGCCTGACAGGCCATCCAGGTTCTCGTGAAAGGCTTCACGAGCAGGTGACGGAAATGGCAGTTTTTGTATTTGATGACAGTCACGTCCTACCGGTGAAGACCTGGTCAGGTGAAAGAGTGACCGTCCACAGATGACAGAGTGTCACTGTTGGGAGGAAGCTGTGGACCCAGGCATGTTGGCTGGGTGCCTGGTTGCTGGCTGTGGAGAAGCCAGAGAGGTCAGCGGTTCACGGTTTTCCCCAACGTGACCTGACCACCCAGCCCGACGAGCACATTCAGCTCGGTAGGCATGGAATCCGTGAGGGGACAGTGGCACACGTGTCTTCGGGAGGGGCGAGGTTGGGCGCCACCACTGAAGCCCTGGGTCTCCATTAGAAAATGGAACATTGACATTTATTGCCTTCCAGAAATAGCGCCAACAAATCGAGTCTCTCGCTGGAACGTTTACACCTGGAATGTCATTAAATTGCCCAGGCCCCTGAGGAACCTGAGGGTGTTGACGGGTGGGTTGCAGGCCGGGAGGAGAGCGGGCCCTTGGGACGGAGCGAAGGAGCCACAGTGCAACGGAGGGCCCTGGACGTGAGGAGGGCGGGGGGCCGGAGGACCCCACCCTGGAGAAGGTTGTGAAGGATGAAGTCCAGGTGAGGCTGAGGGCAGGACGGACTCATCTGACGCCCCAGGCTCCTCTGAGAAAGGCCATTTCATTAAGCTCTCGTCCCCAGGCCCAGACCTCCTGCCAAAATGCAATCAGCTCAACAAAGCAGTTGGCGAGTGTGTCTGTGTGGGGCCGGGTTTCTGAGGTCGAGGAGGCCCCTTCCCTTGCCAGAGCGCACAGATTTCATCTCCTTCCCTCTGCCTCCCTCGGAAGGTTTCTAGAATGAACGACAGGTCTGCAGTCACAGCAAGGCCATGGCTTGGGGCAGGGCAGCCATTACAGGCCTCGGCGGCCCAGGAAGGCTCTGGCAGCAAATTGAACTGTCATTCCATGGCAGGCCCTTGAGCGTGATGGCTAGAGTAACACGCGAGTGCCCCCTCTGCCAGCCTGTCACCCGGCTCCTGGGCAGGGATGGGGGAGAGGTGGGGATGGCATAGGACTTACGCATTCATGGTGGGTGCCCTGAGGGACGCGGGCTGGGAATGACACAGGGCGCAGGACTGAGACTGTCCCAGAGCCTCTGAGAACGCCCCCTCCACTCGCCTGCTCAAGCCCTGAGTTCTGGGAGCTCCCGGGGCCTGTCACTGGCACCTGCGCTTACACAGGTGAGCCAGGGCCTCTCCTAAAACTCTGTGCCCCGGATGCGTCACTCGCCTCAGCCTAGTCTCCATCCCCAGCGACTGTCCCACCACCCTCCATTCCAGGTTCTCAGGCTTGCCTTCCCCAGCTTTGAAGCCCTTAGGCATTCAGCGCAGGCTGAGCTGGGGTGCTCCCCTAATACCCTGATGTCTCCCTGCTTTTGTGGGTTCCTGGCCCCCTTCACAGCCCACAGTCAGCAAGTGGCTGGGGGAGGCGGGGCTGTCTCGGGGACACCGGGGCCCTTCCGGTCCTCATTCGGAAACTGCGCAACTCCCCTCTGGCAGAGGAGCTGCGGTTTGCTGCAGAAAATGTCAAACTGCAGAAATTAAAAATGTAAATGTTGGCATCTAATTAACCAGTTGACAGCGGTGCACCGCGGCAAGTGACAGTGACAGATTGCCTTCTGCCAGCCTCTCTCCCCAAGCAGCCCCCAACCCGGCCCTCCTCCCGGGTCACCCCCAGAGAGGGGAGGGCATTGACGCAAAGCAACTGCTTGGAAGAGCCTCTGGGCCCTGCGGGGGGCAGCCCTTGCGTCTGTGAGAGGAGGTGTCAGAAGGACACAGAGACAGACTGGACACTCTTCGGTGGCTGGGAGCAAGGCCCAAGCAGGAGACAGCTCCCCGTTCACCCTCTGACCATGTCTGGGCCACGTCCCTTCCGTCTGTGCCCCTGCATCCAGAGCTGCAGAGGGCTTTCCCCGGCCAGCCCCAAAAGCGCAGGTGGGAGAGAGCCCACCATGGTCCCCAGGGGTCCGTGCACCGGCATCCACTGGCCCCGGACATCGTGCTGGGAGTTTCCATCTCTCCTCTACTCCGTGTGCACGGCTCCAGCTCCTTTCTTCCCCACTCCCTTCCCCGGCAGGTATTACTCAGACATCGGGAAGATGCCGGCCATCAGTGACCAGGACATGAACGCGTACCTGGCTGAGCAGTCCCGGATGCACATGAATGAGTTCAACGCCATGAGCGCGCTCTCGGAGATCTTCTCCTACGTGGGCAAGTACAGCGAGGAGGTGAGCCTGCCCGGCACCTGCTGGGAAGGACGGGGCGGAGACGGAAAACTGCCTGTAGCAGTCCCTGTGCACAAGAGCACCAGGCATGAACCCCAGACAGCCCCCCACCCCTGCTGGGGAAACTCTCTGCCACCTTGGACTTGGGGGCTGTGCGGCACAGACTGGGACTGTAGAAATGTCCCATTCTGTAAGTTCTGCATTAATCCATATTCTCAGATATTTAGATAAAGTATCTGTTTTTCTTTCTTTCTTTTACAATTCTTACTTCTTCCCTGCTTGTCCCTCTCTTTTATTTTTCCCTTTTCTCTCTCTGATCTAATTCTCTTTAAACAAGCAGTTTCCCGCTCACATGGCAGGCTGCATGGTATGGTATGGTATGGTGGGAGAGGGGAGGGGGCGGGAGGGGAGGATCGGAACAGAACAGATACAGAACAGAGCAGAATGGGATCTGTTTTACCTGCTGTGTTCCCAGGCGGGAAACCTCCCCTGGGATCATGGCTACAGCAGACACTGCCTTCTTCCCGGCCAGTATGGAGGTGCTTATGGGAGGTTTCTTCGTCACGCAGACTTAGTCCAAGTGAGTTCAGAATCCAGGCTCCCGTGTCTGAGCGGCAGCGTAACCACCTTCTCCTTGAGTGGAAGAAGCCAGTGCCCCCGGTTCTCTGCCCCCTCCCGGCTCGTCACTGAGAGGGGGTCTAGGAGCCCCCGGCCAAGGAAGGAGCCCCAGCAGGCCATGAGCGGCATAATGCTGTGAACCTCACATGAAGGGAAAGCCGGCTGTGGGTCCCCTGGGGGGGTGGACCGAGACACCAGCCTGCAGGCCAGTGCTGGTCCCGGGGCAAAGTTCTCCCCTGTCCGCGGCCACATGAGAGAAGTAAGGACCACGTGGAATGTGCCAGCACAGGAGTACAACTGCCTCTTCTTGGAAGCACTGCCCTTTAGTCTACAAGGACACTTGTCTACCCTTGGTGTGAAAATGTCCCATCTTCATGAAATGTTGGTGCCAATAACCGGTGGTTCTTGGCCAGCTAAGAAGCCAGCGACTCCATCTTGGTAGGCCAGGAAATCCAAAGCTCAGAGAGCCTCCCCTCGAGCCTTCAGTGTCCCCTTTGCCTCTTCTGCCCGCCTGCCCCTCAACCCCAGCACCAGGACATGCCGCACCTGTGTGTCACGCGCCCCTTTTGGAGCAAACTTCGCGGGAAGGGCACTCACGTGTGTTACGTGATGGTGCCCTCTCCACTGGAGCGGCCCACACAGGGACCAGGAGTCCCCCGTTTTACAGCTGAGGCAGTGAGGGTTCAGAGAGGTGACATGTTGCGCCCCAGATCACCTCGCTAGAAACTGGTAGGTCTGTTATTCAGTCCCACATCGCCTGAGTCTGCGGTCAAGTCTAACACCTTTTCCCTCACGTCCTTGCTGTCATTGTCCTCCCCCAACCATCTGACCTCAGACAGGGCTTTGGCAGACAGGATCATTTGGTGCTGATGACCGGGAAAGCATGAGATAGAACTTTGGGGGGATATTTGTCTGTTAACACACAAGTGAAGCCAAGTGACTTTCTAAATGTGGGCTCTGGGGCCTTGGGGAGCTCATGGGGGAAGATATTCCTTTGTAGGAAGGAGGGGTGGGATTTCTTAATATCTGTGAGGCCACATTCCCCGGAGACCCCGGGCACCATGCTTCACATGGGGGTGGGCTGTGTTCACCTGCAGGGCGAACGTGGGCAGCGGAGTGCACACAGACACGCTGATGTATGTGCCGACCCCCATGCGCATCGACCCAGGGGTACCCACACCCGCATGCCCCGCCCCCCTCCATCCCCGCTAGCCAGGCTGCCTACGGACCCAGCGACCTCCTGTGCGCCTCTCACCCCGCCTGTGCGCACCCTGAGAGCACAGACCTGTATGCACAGACTAGTAACCTCCCTGTTCTTGGCCCTTCAACAGATCCTCGGACCTCTGGACCATGACGACCAGTGCGGAAAGCAGAAACTGGCCTACAAACTAGAACAAGTCATAACCCTCATGAGCTTAGACAGCTGAGAACCGTCCTTCCAGGGCCCCTGGGGGGAGGGACACACCAAGCCGTGCCTCAGTCTAGATTATCATCTTTACCAAGTGCAAGTTCCAACTGGCATCAGCAGCATCCCCTGAGCAGCGCTGTCTCTCTCTCCGCCTCTTTCTGTCTCTCCCTCCTCCCTGCGTCCCTTCTCTCTCTGTGGCTCTGCCAACACGATGGAACCAGGCCACCGCCCCTCAGTTAGTCCAGGATGGCCAGGCTCACGCGGGGACCCGGCCAGAAGATATCAGCGGGGCTCTCTTTCCCGGCTGGCCGCAGGCTGACCGCATCGGATGGAGGAGAAGCCCCAGAGAGAGGACGCCCCCATGCCGCTACTCCGCCTTCCACACCGGGCCGAGCCTTGGTCTAGGGAAGAGGCAATGAACTCAGTATTAGCTTCACCGGGAAGACATCACCTGGCTCTCTCCCTTCCTCGTATCCACCTCCAGGGCATCACCTGGCTCTCTCCCTTCCCCCGTACCCACCTCCAGGGGGTCTGCCAGGGTGTGGGCCCTTTGCAGCTCTGAGAAGAAAGGCCACAGCAACTGTGCATGGCGGACTGGGGGTTGGGGGGGGCGAGTTGGGAGGTGCCTTTCGAGCCACCTCTCACCTGTTGGGTTGGCTTCCAGAGGCCACCTTGTCCCCTTGGCAGTCTTCTTGGAGCCCTTCCAAGTGCTCCTAGGGACCTGCCTGCCCTGTCCCCTCCCCTGCCTATGGAAAGCCAGACAGGAGAATCAGCAGTTACATGCCACCGTGGAGACCCTCCTAACCTTCGAGTCTGGCTCAGAGCAGCAGAAACGTCACGTGGTGGGGGAGAAAGGGAAAGAGAGTCACACCCACCCTGGAAGCAGGATTTGTTGTTTTCCATTCACCTGTGCACGCAAATGAAACACGTCCATAGTCATGGGCCTCATCCATTGCCAGATCCTCGATGCTGTCTAGAGAAAGCACCTGCAGCCTCCTCGGTCGGCGCTCATCAAGGGTCAATGTAAAATGCAGAGTACATCCAGGAGATTCTACCTCCAGCCGCCTTTCTTGGCTCCATCCCCACCACCCTTCCTGAGAACTTTATAGAAGGCTGGGGCAGAGAGCTGAGCCCCTGTCCCCCTGCAGAGCCTGGTGCCATTGCTATGCAGAAGACTTTGTCCCTGGACTGTCCAGACCTCCTTGGCAAGGACTCCTTCACCATCCGCTGTCTCTTTAGTCCCTGCCCTTCCTCCCCTCCTCCCCAGTCACCACGGAGAGAACCACGCTCAAGCACAGCCTCACGGAGACAAACCCAAATGCCAGGCACACTCAGCCGCCAGCTCGCCACGTCCGGGAGGGACCCAAGGACTCAAGCTGAAAGACCTGGCCAACAACGAGAGAAGAGACATACGACGGACCTCGGCCCTGGCATCTGTTTCTCCATCTGTCCTTCCATCTCTGGATCTCTCATTTCAGCCCGTCAGGCAAATGTACGCGCAGACATGGGTGAGCAGGGGCTGTGGTAAGAGACGGTCTAATGGAGGGTCATGGAAACGTGAATCTTGAAGGGCCCTTAGTTGCCATCTGGCTCAATTTCCCACCCGAAGCCAGATTCTCTCCTAGCACCCCTGGTGGCTAATTGTACACCGCTCGGGGGGACAAGGAGAAGCATCATGTAAGGTGTGGCTGAGAGTGAGGGTTCCAGTCTTGCCTTCACTCCCTGAGCATCAGATATCCGTCCCTGTCAGCCACTCAAAGTGAACCCCAATTGGAAAGGGGAAGGAACCACTCCATTTCCAGCAAAGTCCATGGAGCACCCTGTACTTTTAAGAACTCTGGCCCCTTTGGATAGGTGTGCGTGTGCGCCCGCGCGCGTGCCCCAGGAGCAGGCAGAGAGCTCGAAAGGATTTCTGGTCCTGTGGAGGGGACCCTGAAGTGATTCCCTTGCTCACTCATTCTGTAGCTTGAGGACATATCAACACTAGCTTTCTGCACTGAGTGCCGGGGGGGGAGGGAAGGAGAGTCACCTGTCGGCAGGAAACCAGGCTGCTCAGCACCACGGGAGGCCCGGACTTGACTGGAGGCTGGGTGGAGGTGACCCACAGCAGGGCAGCATGTGACATCAAGGAGAGGACAGATGGGGACAAAACACCAGTAGCCTAACCACGAAAAGAGGAGAATGGGGAAAAGATACCCATCGAGGGGGAAAAATAACCAAAGGTTTTGGCAAATGAAGTGCCAGGTGAAGAAGCTTGGGCTTTCTACCCTTGACCCTTTTATTTCCTCTGGAGAAGCCACGGGCCCTGGCCAGGGAGGAAGCACGGGGGGGGGGGCAGGCGGAGGAGGCCCCGCGGCCGCCAAGATGCATTTGCACACGTGAGGGGTGGGGAGGAGAGAGACACAAACATATTTAACACAGATTCGCTGAGTGGAAGCTGAGTGTGTGTGTGAGTGCATGTGTGAGCGAGTGTGTTTGATTTATTTTTTAAGTTTTGCACAGTTAGAAAAAGTGAACAGGCAGAAAAGAAGACTGTTATCATGGTTTTGCTGAAGCTTTTATTTTTTACCGGATTATTATTATTATTGTTATAGTTCCTTTGTCGGTACAGAACGTCCCCCACCTCCACCCCGCCCCTGCCCCCTGTTTTGTCATAAGAGAAACTTCTCAGAAACCTCAGAGAAACCTCAGTGTCAGGAAGAAAGAGGAGAGGAGAGTCTCCTGGTTCTCCTTTCTCCTGGTTCAGAAGGGGGTTGGGGCAGATTTTACTTTAATTGCTGGGAGGGGGGTCGCTGCTGGTGTTTTGTTTGCCGAAGTCTCCGCGACCTGCTTGGGCTAGAGAAACAGGACAGACTCACCCAGGCCTGCAACCCATCTTGCCCCACAAAAGTGTTCCTTTCTCCGTTCGTTTTCCACTTTTTTCCACTTGGATTCGCGGTACACGTGTGATTCAAAGTAAAGACAAGGCAGCATTTTCAAAAAGCTGTCCTTGGCTCCCCACGTTCTTTCCAAAACTCCCCTTGGGGTCCACGATCTCCTCCTGACAGGCCAGAGACCCCAAAAGCTGCCCCAGGGGTGTGGGCACGGGGGCCAGCACACAGCAGAGAAGGGAGCTGGGCAAACGGGTCCTGTGGAAGGGAGGTTCCCCTCAAGGCCTCCGCCCCCGTGGCAGTGAATTTGCAGGGTCATAACTCCGTTTAAGGTGGAATCTTTACCTAACTTCTTGAGTCCCGGGCAGAGAGGAAGAGAGAAAAGGCCCATCTCCTCTCACCTCCCCCTTCAACCGCCTCCTGCACCCTCCAGCCCTTGAGACCATCAGGGTCAAAATGGCACCAGGAGATCACACAGAATAACTGACCTAGGTTAGACGGGGCTTTTGAATGTAGGAGAGAGATGGGCTGAAGCCGGGGTGGTGGGAGGCAGGGAGCTTTATGGGGTCCTGAATTTAAAAGGACCGATGGACAGAAGCTGAGACAGATGGCTGCAGGCAGGTCATTGCTCTCGGGGGGCACAAGTCTCCCCACATGTGGGCTTTGCCGTTCTTTGTCCTTCCACGTAAGGAGAGACCCCCGACATTTCTTGGTAATGGCAAACAGTACCACTAAGTGAAGTTGGCTACTGTGTCAGTTAATTCCTCAGGAAAATACTTTCTCTTCCTTCTTTCAATGTGGTTTTAATTTGGGGGTGGAGGACCGCCTGAGCGTCCACAGGCCAAGGTAGGGTCGCACCCCAGAGCAACATGCACACCCGGAGTCAACCCGAGAGGCTCCCTCTTGTGAGCCCGTGGGCCGAGGAGTCAGGCCCAAGGTGCCTGAGCAGGGCTATTGTCCGAGAGAGAAGTCCTTTTCAATAATCCCAGAGTAAAGCAGACTATCCAGGACTGTGCCAGGCAGACGTGGGAGTCGCTGACCAGTAAAGTCGCTGACCTGTCCACTCAGGCCTGGGTCTCACCCCCCAGCCCGAGGCTATGTCAAGGTACTGCCCCAGCACCCCCTCTCCCCCGACCCGAGGTCCTTGTGCTCGTGCTCCCCTTGCATGTCTGGCTTCTGAGAGTGTCCCTCCCCCGCAGAGGCGAGTATGCCCCCTCGTCCCCCTTGCCCACAGCTGCACGCGGAGCCGCAGACCTCACAGCCCAGCCCCACCCCGGGGCAGCTCTAGGCCCCTGTCACCAGCCCGGCACTGCTTCCCTGAGTGATTGGGGGGGTCCCTAGTCCCACCTGGGCCCTGGGGATCCCCCATCAGAAGAGCCACAAGCAACGGTTTCCCAAAGCAACCTCCACTCCGAGAGGCAAGTCCTGCTGAGGTTTCCAGCACCCTCAACAACCGTGCGCTTTGACCTAACAGGGGAAGCCCTGTTTTCCGTCTCCTCTCTCAGGAATTAGGGGACACTTCCTTTGGCCTCACAGGATGTGAAGTCAAATATTTAACCTAGTGAAGGTTAAAGTTAATTATTCTTAATCAAGAACAAACTTCCCCACCTCTGAGAGAGCCAGGAGGGAGGGGAAGAGGCAGGGAGGTTCTGCAGGCTGGGGACCCCATAGACACCCCTTTCGGGGCCCTTCCAGGAATGGGCCGCCCCAACATGTGGTCCCAGCACGGGTCTGAAAGGCCTCCGAGAGGCATTTCTAGGCATGAATAACCTCCAGGTACCAGAGTCCCCAGGAGAAGACCCTGCCCCAGGCCGACCCTGGCTCCTTCCCGGGCTTTTCTCTTGCTCCTAGTTCACGTCAAGGACCTCCTGTCAGCCCCTCATGCCTCCTGTCAGCGTTTAGCTCAGGGGACTGAGGGCCCCTGGCCCCGCAGCCGGTCCCTTTTTCTTTAACCTGTATGTGGACTGTTTACTTGGAGTTTGAGGTTATTTTTTGTTTGTATACGTTAAGCGTTGGAGATTAAGGAGGGAGCCCAGGTGTGGGTGTCAAGTCCAAACTGCTGGAAGGAAGAAACAAAACTCTTCACCTGTGACTTGCGAGGGATGAGGAGAGCCTTGGGGCTGAGGGGGGGGGCTCCCCTGTTGTTAAAAAATGGGTCAGGATATTCCCCAGGTGTGGACATGCCTGGGGAAGCAGCCTCCATGGCTGCTAATATTCTGGGTGCTTCCCGGGCACCTGGGATGTGGCTAGAACCTGTGACGCTGCCCCTCTCCTCCCACAGGTGTGGCCAACGAGAGCCCTTACAGATCGGGGAAGCTGAGGTACAGTCACAGGTGACACGGAGAGGCAGCTCCCGGGGGAGGCTGGGAAACCATGAGCCTCTGTCCTCACGGTGCT